CTTCACTGGCTGTAGCATATACAGTGTAGATTTTTTTTGTTGTTGTTAAGTTGATACAGAAATAGTTGCATACTATATCCATTATTTCTGCAAATTTTTTTTCATTTAAAGTATCTTTGCTTCTCTTTACTATATTTATATATTGCCTTTTCTTAAAGTCTCATAGGTATATAGGATAGTTACAATATCTAGGGTTTTGGTGAGTAGTGTTTCTTCTTTTGAAAACGAGTTTGTAAAAAAGATTTTTTTTTTTGTTTTTTGGAGCAATGAGTCTTAGCTCTGTTCAATGCAGTGGCAGGGGGGAACCTTGGCTCACTTGCAGCCTCATCCTCCTGTGGTGAGGGTTCCCGAATCAATTCTTCCTGCCTGCAACCTCCTGGGTAGCGTGGGATTACAGGCGGGCATGGACACCAGCCCAGTCTAATTTTGGTATTATTTTAGTAGAGGGAAAGGGTTCCACATGTTTGGCCCAGGGTGTTCTCGAAACGCTTTCTGAGCTTCAGAGGATTCCCCACGGCCGCCGGATCCCAAAGGTGCTGGGATTACAGGTGGAGCCCGGCCTAAAATTAGATTTTGTATACACTAAAAAAAAAACTTATATTTTTTCACTCCATTAAGTAGTTTACTGTGAATTTTTGATATTGAAGCCCATTCGGTTGCTGTCAAAAATAGATTTGAGCAGTTTATTCAGTATGACTCTTGTAGTGAAATTATTGCCGTTTTTCCTCTGCTTAAGTTTTCAGTGGCTTTTGCCATAGTCCTTAAAGGTTTTACAATTTTTTTAATGTTTAATTTTTAAATGTTTGCTTAATATTTCATCGTATGAATATAGATAATGATGAACATTTAGATTACTTTTTACTATTATAGTGTTGCAGTAAATATTTGTTTACATTTATCTTTTGGCCAATAAGCAAATATTTTTGTAAATTAGAATCCTAAAATTGAAATTGGATCAAAAGTTATATGCAATTGAAATTAAATAACTTTTCCTAAATCAAAAATACTATAGTCTTTTTTATATTGTCAGCATAAATGAATGCAGCTATGTAAATGAATATTTTTAGGCATTAAGTAAAATGTTCCATGGAAATTGAACTTTTAAGTTGTTTATACTTCTATGGAAATTGTTTACACTATTAATAAAGAAGCACAAGTTTCTACAAAATGCATTCTAATAGATGTTTTCTATAACATTCAGTCTCAAGATTACTAGTAAATACTTCTTTGAACTGTAAATGCAATCTTTCAATATTATAAGAAAGCTCTTGCTTTAGTAAACATTTAGAAACTCAACTTTATTATCATAAGAGAGAATAAGAACATTGTAACAAGTTTTATGCATACTCCTTTGTAAACTCTCACCAAACTAATTGTTAATCTGGTGCCTTGCATTCCCCAAAGTATTTGTGTCTGTTGTTTAAAAGTTTTTATCAAGGTTTCAGCTAAAACAAATAAATTTGCTTCTGGTTTTAGCTTTAATTTGAACTGAAACTGTCAAAACGTGAGTTTTGGGGACTTCACACCATTCATTTGGACATTTGATTCTCTATAGTGTTTTAAATTTTCATGCACTTAAATATATAATTATTTTTGATAGGCTTTCTTCGTTTAGTCTTTTCTTTAGAAAGTAGAAAAATAAGATAAAACCCAAACTGGTCTGAAGCATATATACAATATATATGTTTGCTCTTTTGTTCTTCTTTTTCTTTAGTTCCCACTGGGAATTTGAAGGTCCAACAATCATCTACTGTCCTTCTAGAAAAATGACAGAACAAGTTACAGCTGAACTTAGGAAACTGAATCTATCCTGTGAAACATACCATGCGGGCATGAGTTTTAGCAGAAGGAAAGACGTTCATCATAGGTTTGTGAGAGATGAAATTCAGGTATGAGGATCAATCATCATTGCTCTCCATTGTTCATAGTGGAAGTAGATATTTCTCAAATGTTTATTTACCAGATATTTATTGAATACTTTCTTCGTGTTGAACATAAAGCAGTCCCTCTGATAAGTGTGGGAGAACAAACTTGCAGATTGGTGTAAATAGCAATCTGTACCTAGTGCTTAGGTGCACAGAGGAGGGAGGAATTGCTCTGTCAGGGTAGTTGTGTAATGGGGGTGGTCCATCCAGGAAAAATCAGTTAGAGTCCAAACATGTAAATAGAAGTTTTTCAAGTATGCCAGACCTGTGGGTGATGAGGGGAAAGGAATTGGTTATAGAATTCCAGGAAGAAGGACTAACAGGTGCAAAGACACTTTGATATGAGAACACATACTGGGCTCAGGAAATTGTGACTGGTTTGGAATGGTTGGAGGGAAACAGAATGTGGGGTAGGAATGGCACAAAGAGGCAGGGTGGAACAGTTGGAGACTTGAGAGAACAGTTGAGTGGGTTGGTTGGCCAGGTTATAGATGGCCTTAACACTTGCAAAGAAGCAGTCTGGGCTTAGTATCATATACCTGTTAGTTTTCGCTGACTACTTTAGCCTTAGAATTTTTAGTTTAAATACAATGTTATGTAATAGGTAAAACAGATTAAAGTAGAATAACTCTGGCTGAAGTTAATTTGAGGGAAAAGGAGGTCCAAGAGTCTCCAGACCTTGAAGACACTGCCTATTGGGGTCTTATAATCCTTGGAGTGCCGAAGAATCATTTGAAGATTATCATGATGTATTACTCTGTGTTTTTAAACAAGGTAATGGGATTATAGAAACATGAGACTGGCAGCAATAAGTTGGATTGATTTGAAGAAGAGACACTGAAGAAGGGAGAGGGTATCGATGCAGTTATTGTGAAATTCTATAGTTCCTGTCCTGATTGGAGTGGCTCAGTGGGTGTCGTAGAGGATTTATTTGGGAGGATTTAAGTTCAAGGCACATGAGTAGGTTTAAGTCAACAACTTGACACTGTCAACATGAAATCCTCACTCTGTCACTATAAGTCCGGGTAAGAGCCTTCCTCTGAAGTTAAGAATTTAAAGTCAGCTCTCGTATTTTCTGTCCCACTGGTCATCCATTTCCTCTCTATTCATCTCTCTTTCTGATATCTAGTTGTTATCCACCCTTAGCTAATGTTGTTGAAAAGCTTAAGCATGGTTCATATTCACTGTCTCTAAAGTTCACTACACATAGTCATACTGTAATGCATACCCGCCTGAAAGCATCTAGTCTCTCTTTCCCTTCTTTCCAAAGATAGGAATACCATTCACAGCGGTTTAGAATAGAAATTTTATCCAAATTCTTCAGTGTTTATATTTTTGTTCTGTTATTTCAGTGTCTTGAATATTGTCAAATAACATTTATTAGCTGCTGTTGCTACTACTGAATCTTAATCAGTCTTCAAGCCATTAACTGACCAATGGTTTCTTCTATCTTAATGTATTAGTAATTATTCATTTAAAGTAAAACATCTCCCAGAACATGAAAGAATACAATCTTTATTCATGTTACGTTGTGACAGGAGACTTCGTTGGATGCGCCTGATTTTCCTGCCAATACACAGCTTCATTAAAACATTAATGCTTTGAAAAATGGCTTAGGAAACTTCACAGTGATCATTTTCTGGAAGAGTACATGTGTGTATGTGTCATGGTATTCTCCCTTTCTGTGGCAGGATTCCATAAATTTTTATCCACATTACGAAAATTTAAAAATTGATACTGTTTTTTTCTCCCTACGTGGATATCAGATACTCTGTTTTATCTGACAGCTGGCCTAATGTACTCCTACTTGGCCGTTATAAAGAATTCAGAAGCTTCATATTTGCATTGAAAGTTCTCAAATACTTTGTAAAGATGAGGAAAATACGTTTCATCGTCTATCTAGAAAGGTCAGGTGTTCCTGCAATTGATTACTTGCTACCGAGAGTTGAATACCTACTGAGTGCATCATGTAGAGAATTCTAGATGTTCACTTTGGTGTGTTTTTACAGTTGCTATATACCTTAGTGTGGGTCTAAAAGTGGAGGTGACCCCCGTAGCTCTTAATGTCTTAGACTGAGTGATGCTTAGAATCTTAGATTTTCTAATTTTAGAAAAAAGTATACTTTTCTTTCTTATTTTTATAACCAGATACAACCACATTTGCATGCAGATAGATGTTTTTAGTCTTAACCATTCATTTTTACTTTTATTCCTCATTTTATTAGTTTTGTATCTTTTTGTATTTAATTTCCCCTTTCAAGATGCCTTGAGTCCTTTCTTTTTAGGAATGATGTTGTGAATAAATTATTTGATAAAATATCTTTACACCTGAGAGTTTATAAGGATAGTTTGAAAATCATGTCTGTAAAATAGGTGGATCTCACCTAAAAATATTATTATATAATTAAAATTAGAATTATTATTTTGTTGCTTATTGACCCTTAAATATAGCAAAATTGCCGTGTCTCATACAGCCAGAGCTTTTACTTAGTATGATACTCATTTCTATATTTACTTTTTTCTCATGTTTGTCATACTTTCTTTTACTTATTCAACATTTCCTCCTTTCGTCCCTCCTTTCTTTTCTTCTTTCCTTCTTTTTTCTTCCTTTCGTATTCCTGGTCCATCTTACCATGTAATCTTTCTTTATGAAATGGCATGCAAATAGGTCTACTGTGCTTATAGTGAAAAGCTTCAAGGCCTCATGTCTTTCCCACTTCTATTTCCAACTCCCAACCTTTTTAGCTGATTCTTTTGGTACTTTACCACTATATCGTGCCATAGTTTACATACATGGCTCCTATTTAATTTTTTGTTTATTTGTGTGTTAGTTGTAGGCATTATCTATTGACTCCTCTCTCTGAAAGATGAAAGGTTAGCTCTCTTTCACATTCTTTACTGCCCTTTTTTCTTACCTTGTCCATGTATTTCTAACCCCCTTTCCTCCTAGTATGTTTATGTCATGATTTTGGCTAGATCAGTGTATACGGTTTACATAATTATTACTCTGTAATGCTTTTTATAATCTCTGAGCCATGTAGTTGCTATTTTTTTCTTATCTATTTGTATTTTTATTGTTAATACCTAAGAAAAAAATTTTCTATGTCTTCTCACTAATTCTTCCCTAAAATTTCCCACAAAGGTGTAAACTTACCTCAGTATATTCATAGATATGAGACATTCTATCAGTTTTACCCTCTTAAAGATGCAGAGATAATGCATCATGTTTCATCCCACCATCTTTAGTGAGAAACTTCCATCTTAGGTTAATATTAGAGAATGTTAAGATGCTCTGCAATCAGGTAAGGACACTTGCAACTTCATTATAATGCAAAAGTTTTCTTTAATACAATAAATATTTTGAGGCTCTTTTGTGTCTTGTGTTCATAGAAGTTCAGAAAAACCACTTTATTTACTATTTTTTATAGAGAGTGAACAGAAACCTCATTTCTAGTCACCAGTCCTTAATCTGTAAATTAGGCAGGTAGATAATCTATAAATGATGGTCGAAATCACATTAAATTCCATTTTGTGCCAGGGACTTAAGTTAATGAACAAATTACTCTTACAAAAAGGTATAAATGTAAGGTTTTCATTCCACTAAATAGGTTTGTCAAACTGTGTTGTGATTTATTCTCAGTGTGTCATAGCTACCATAGCTTTTGGAATGGGCATTAATAAAGCTGACATCCGCCAAGTCATTCATTACGGTGCTCCTAAGGAAATGGAATCATATTATCAGGAGATTGGTAGAGCTGGTCGTGATGGACTTCAAAGTTCTTGTCACATCCTCTGGGCTCCTGCAGACATTAACTTAAATAGGTAAAAAAGCATTTATTGTTTTTACTCTTGCAGATTTCTTTCTTTCCATATAAACCTTGAAAGTGTTTGAGGCTATTTCCAGTATTCCAAGTAATTTGTGAGCCCATTTAAAGTAAAAAAAAAAAAGAAAAAAATAAACCTCCCCAAATCCAGAGGACATGTAGGAAGAACATTTGTGGTAAGAGTTGCCACTTGGAGGAGATGAGCTAATTTCAGCATGCCTTAGTGTGAGGAATTAACTAAATCAGGACAATACTTGGGCCTGTAACAGAGATCCTATGGAATACTTTCCTACCATTGTGCATTAATGAACAAGTTCTTTTCTCCTTCTCAGATCCTGCCAAATTGCCATGTCTTCAGCCATAGTTACTCAGCTACCACTGATTTTGTTACTGATTCTTTCTTCCCATGCTACAGTGGTGATTATTCCAGAGGACTTCTCTCAATCCCTATTTGACTCTTGTTACTATTTGTTTCCTTGGTTAGTTCCGTGAGACCATAACAGTTCTCCTTGACTGTGTGTGAATCATTGTGTTGCACTGTACTGATAGACTGCCATAAATCAATATTAAGTGTTCAATATCTAAGTACAAGAGAATCATGCTACTTAAGTACTCAACAAGTAGTTTGTTGGCACTTAAGTTCTATGACATTTTTATTGTAAAGGAAAACATTATCTTGCAAAGATTTCAGGGCAGCATTTACCAACTTTGTTCCTTCATCCATAGGAAAAAGAATCTCAGGAGAAAAACCTATACATGGTAACCAGTGGGGCTGCCAAGCTGATGAAGTATTTTCAGAGTACACCTTTATGTAGCTGAATACATTGAGATCTTGAATGGACATATTAGCTCATTTTAGTAAAATGATCAGAGAGTGCCTCCCAGTACAGTTTTTGTTTTTATGCATTATTAAACAATGTGTTTTTGAGTGTCCACTGTGTTCCATGAACTATGCTATGTGTGGGAGATATAACAGTAAAGAAAAGCAAAGTACCTGCTTCCACATAATTCAGTATAATGGGAATGGTAGTTCTTTAGAGAATCACATAACTATGGATACATAGGCTTCATTTTACTGTTCTCCTTTTGTGTTTGAAAATGTCAACAATCAAAAGTTTTTAAAAAAGGAATCATGCAACATATTTAAAATTATAATTGTGTTAAGTGTTATGAAGGGAAATTGTATTGAGTAGTAAGAATATATAATGTTGTGTGGTATTTCCCAAGTTAAAAAGTTCAGGTAAGGCTTCCTTGTGGAAGTGATGGTTCAGATCTGAAAGAAGAATAAGAATTAATTAGGTAAAAATGTTTGATGCAAATTTTAAGGTTTTCCTTCTGAGTAGTCAGTAGCTTTTCCTTAATATAGAAGATGACAAAACCATCCTTTTTTTGTACAGAACAATTCTTGTTTTCCTTTAGACAGTTGTATCTGTCAAGCTTCTTATGAACTAATTTAAATAATTGGGATAGAACACAGCTGTACATGTTACAATTAAATATGGAATATATCAAACATAAGTTGATTCCTACCAGTTCTGATTTTATTTGTGTATTTTGTTAAAGGTACTGAGGACATTAATATCCAGTTTTATATTGTGCATTTGAAGGTTCATCAATAAATACAATTCTTGTTTCTCTGGGTCTTAAAAGATATTTTAAATGGTTATCTCATTAAGATTTAACAGGAAGTAACAGTGATTCAAATCAAATAGTGGTGCCAGAAACCCAGACTTGAATTTTGAGTACAGACAGGTTACCCTTTGCATCAGTCCTGAGGAAACTAAAACTACAGGATTAATCAGGATAAGAAAGAATTGAGCAAGGATTCAGGAGGGCTCTGTATTATCCTGGTGACAACTCTTCTAGAAAAAACTAGAAAGTCTAAGAATAAATGAAGTTGCTTGTTCTCACCTGGAAAGGTCAGTTACTCAGAAAATTTTTAGAGTCTATCTTATGCCATAATTCTTATCACTGAGAGAAGAAACTTGTCCAGTCATCATGTAATCTTCATGTAAATTTATATTTTTAATTGCAGAATTCATACCACAGGCAAAGTCCCAATGTCTGCATTTGTTGTTACCTTAAATAGTCAAACCCCAAAGTTATTGTAGTCTTTTTTTAAGAGAGAATAATTTGCAAAATAATCTCGGTCCAATAGATCTTTCACTGGATCCAAATGATTTCCATGAATGATTTAGAATTTTTCTTATTTTCAAATTGTTTTTTTCTGTGGAATACCGGACTTATTTTCGTAGTCCCAAAAGAAGAATACGTATTTATTTATTTATTTGTTTTAAGAGTTATAGTTTTGTTTTCGCAAATTTGTCCTGACACTGATGAGATTAGTTAAATATAGGTCATCTGAACCACATACAGGGAAGGATCCAGTTCTGAGAGTGTGGGCGTTTGTTTTCTTTTTTTTTTTTCTATAGGAGGGAAATGAGGTGAACAAAACAAATAAAATAAAGCAAAAAAGAACTGATTTTTATTCCTTGAGGTAGAAAGAATGAGATTACAGTGGGCCCCCTTTTCTGCATTTTCACTTTCTGTAGTTTTAGTTACACCCACGTCCAAAATGTTAAATAGAAAATTCCAGAAATAATTAAATCAGTTTAATTATTTCTTTTAAAGTTTTAAATCAGTGGTGGTTTTGAGTAGTGTAATGAAATTTTGTGCCATCCTACTCAATCAGCTTCGACTCCCTTAGAATCATCCCTTTGTCCGGTGCATTCACGTTGTATTTACTCCCTGTCTGTTAGTCACTTGTTGCAGTATTGCAGTGTTTGTGTTTAAGGAACGCTTATTTTACTTAAGAATGGTCCCAAAGCACAAGAGTACTGTGCCTAATTTATAAATTAAACTTTTTCGTAGGTATATACATATAGGAAAAAACATAATACATACAGGATTTGGTACTATTCTGTGGCTTCAGCCATCCACTGGAGGTCTTGGAATGTATCCCTTGTGAATAAGGAGGAACTGTATATGGTTAACCTAGGAGCTAGAGTCAACAGTTGGAAGAGACTTTGGGGATAATTACATGGAAGGGCATGGTGGCTGGTGGTTTCAGATGACAAGAATGTTTTTGAATAACGGATCATTTGTGTCTTCAGACTTTCCAGAACTCCTTGAGAATTATACAGAGGTATTTAATCAATCAGAAGGTTGAATAGTCAAATTATTAGTGAGCGAAGTTTATTTTGATGGGGATTTTACTAATGCTGTCCCTTAGATATTACAAGTAAATCATTGCTTTCTTTTGAAATATCTGAAACCTAGTTAACATGGACTTTTTTCTTGCAAAGATACGCAAAGCTGTTTGGGAGATTGTTGTCATCTGATATTTGCTATTCATGGGCTCTCTTCACAGAAGACTAGAAATTAACAGAGTCACGATGAATTATGGCAGCATTGACTTTAAAAAACACAAACACCTCTTTAATGTTATTTAACAATTTTGAATAAATTTGATATGGCAAACAAATCAGTTATAATTGATTGAGAAAGGAACTTAATTCTAATACTTTACTGGTGTCCCGTAATAACCCATAATACTAAGAGACAGTTTTGGAGGGCAAGAAGTCCTGAAGAGCTGATAGAGATAAAGGTCAAATTTGAGCTTCTTTCAGTATTCCTCACATCAATGCTTTTAGTTTCTCATACAAAATAAATTAAAATAAAGAATTACCTTTTTACTGGGAAAAGGTAAAAATTAATAAATTGTAGAAGCCTTATTTGAATCCAAAAAGTGTATGACATGTAAATTGAAATGAAAAACTTTAGAGTTTATGATACTTTTTCAAAGCAGCTGAAGAATTGATACTTGGACACAGGAAGTTTTTCAAAAACAATTTTTATAACATCAGAAAAATGTTTACCTCTTGTTGGGGGCATTGACTGGAAAGGAATATAACAGAACTTTCTGAGATGCTAGAAATGTTTTTTATCTTGATGGGGTGTGGGTTTTGTAGGTAATGAAAAATAAATAGTAATAAATAAGTAAATAAAAAGTAGGAAAGTTGCCAGTACAGTTTTATGTATTCCTGTGATGTTTTTAATCAACAGGCATCTCCTTACTGAGATACGTAATGAGAAGTTTCGATTATACAAATTAAAGATGATGGCAAAGATGGAAAAATATCTTCATTCTAGCAGATGTAGGAGACAGTATGTATTATTTATTTTATGCCAATAACATGGATTTATGGATGATGCTCTTTTAAGAAAACAATTTGGCTAAATAGTTGTCCGTATTTTGAAAAAATATTTTGTTGCTGTTATATGCATGCTGAATTTTTAAGGCTAACTTCTTTGTGTCTGAATAAACTGAAGTCAAATAATGAGGTCCCAAGTGAATCAATTAATGATGATTTTACCTCATTATTTTCAGGAATGAACTTAACATATATGTTTCTGTTCTTTTTTTTAATTTAAAATTTTGTCTTGCGTAGAATCATCTTGTCTCATTTTGAGGACAAACAAGTACAAAAAGCCTCCTTGGGAATTACAGGAACTGAAAAATGCTGTGATAATTGCAGGTCCAGGTAAAGCTTTCTTATTATAGATGGACATTCTAAAAGTCTTTGTTTCTCTTCCTTTTCATATTTAATTGAATTTTTGTTGAATGATAAGTATTTCAGTTTTTTAAACAAAACAAGGAATATATTTAGATATAAGAGAAAGCAAACAATATTAAAGTACTTTGCTTCAAAAATAGATAAAGCAATAAAATGGTAGGCCTACATCGAAACATATCAATAGTTATATTAAATGTAAATGACCTAAAATATTATTTAAAGGCGTACATTGTAAGAATTGGTTTAAAAACATGACCCTGTTCTATATGTTGTCCACAAGAAATCCACTATAATTCTATAGATAAGTTTAAAAAAGAATGAAACATTACATTCCATGAAAACATTAATCAAAAGGAAGCTGGAGTTGTTACTTTAATATCAGACAATGGAGACTTTGGAGCAAAGAATATTATCAGGATAAAGAAGGATACTATATGATGTAAAAGAATCATTTCACCAAT